GGGGGAAGGAAGGAAAGAGATAGAGAAGGAAGAGGAGAAGGAAAGATGGGAGGGAAGGAAGGAAGGAAGGAATGAAAGAAGGAGAGAAAGAGGGAAGGTTGGCGGGTAAAGGTTGTTATTTCTATTATTATGATGATGCTATTATTCCTATGAGACCCTTTTAGGGGGAATGGGAGAGGTGTCAGGTCCCAGAGGCAATGCATTGCATTATTGTTATTGTTATGATGGTGGTGAAATAAAAGGAAATAAAAAGTGAAAGAAGGAAGCAAACAGGGAGGGAAGAAAGGCAAAGGAAGAAAGGGGGAGGGAATGAAGGAAAGAGAGAAGGATGAAACCAAGTAGTGAAAGAAGGAAAGAAAGAAAGAGGTAGAGAAGGAAGAAAGGAGAGAAAGGGGGAGGAAAAGGGGGAAGGAATAGGTAGGTACCTCTCTTTCATAATAGTCCAGATATCTACCTCAACTTTGATAAGTTTTACTATAGGCCACAGCAACGCGTGGCAGGGCACAGCTAGTCATTTATAAACATTGTGTGTGCACATAAGTACCCGCATATAGTGATGGTCTCCATGTTGGGGGAAGTGAATCTATTGTGAACTTGAAAGAAGTTATCTAAGATACTGAATCTATTTCCGGATAAGATGCACCTTGGATAGTTCTATCAATTCCACAATAAAAGTGCCCTGCTGCCTCCAGTTACCACTTTCACACTCCAACAAAACTGTTAGTTGATGTTCCAACCAGATGCACCCTCTTTTGGGATACTCCATTCCTTAGTGATTTTCTCCCTCCCTAAATTCATACTCTGGATTTCCAAACTCATAACACATTACATTCTTTTGGGACTGCTGCTTCCATTGCCTTGTCTTTTTTTTTTTTTTAAAAAAAAGATTGGTTGTAGCTAAAGTTTCCTCTGAGTTCATAGCTACCATATACTAGGCCAGAAGCAGGGCTGATTTGACTACACAAATACTGGCATGCACCTAAAATATAGTTAATTGGGTTATTTGAGGAAAATAAGTGATAATGATGGTACATGTGAGCATACATACAAGCACATTTGTACACATTTACAATATCCAAATAGTCAAAATCTGGTGAATTCAGGAGCAAACACCTACAACATCAGCTGAATATTGTGAATACCAGAGAAAAAAAGAATGAACTTTCCCCTCAGTTTTCAAGTAGACATAAATAAATAAAGACAATTTAAGTTATTGTCAATATGCTCCCATGAATCTCTGCATTTCCAAGAAATAAAGTATGCTCGGTAGTTGATGGGGGAGGAGCAGGGAGAGTTCTACCTCAAAGGAAGAAATAAGCACATATATAATTCTAACCTCCTAGAATAAATAGAATCTAAACATGCCCATTTTGGGCTTGATTATAACCTTTGGTGGCTTATTATTCATTATTATGAATGAAGTGCATGAATGCTAAACTAAGCAGTCTGGCTGTTATCAAAGTTACCAGCTGGCACAAAATAGCAGCTGAATCATCACTTTTCACAGCCTCACAACATTTAAATTGAAATGCAATCTCTCTGGAGGACAACCTAGCGTTTCTTATCCTATTCTTGAAACAAGGAATTTCTGCTCACTATAGGTTTTAAACTCCCATAAACCCCCTTGGCATTGAACATGCGAACTGAGGACTTGCTCACACATTTAGACATGTCCAGAGACGGCCCTAGGTAATTTTCAATAGTAAGCAAACAGTATTTTGGCGCCCCCTCCCCCCCAAATCAATCACTGATATATATTTTCTGTTTGTTGTGGGAGTTTTGTATTTGGTTCAATTCCATCATTGGTGGAGTTCAGAATGCTCTTTGATTGTAGGTGAACTATACATCTCAGTAACTACAACTTGCATATGTCAAGGTCTATTTTCCCCCAAGAACACCTCAAGAGCGCCCCTGGGCAAAATCAACTATACTGCAAATGCTTACTTTGTGTAATGGGTTGAGCTGCCCCTGGACATTAGGCTTGTTTGATCAAGAAAAAATCTGGTTCTAAACTCGCTTCGTTTCCAGGGGGTGCCAGCATTTCGAATTTCAGAGGACTTCCAAAATTTAAGATTTCAAAATTTCGAAATTTCTGAAATTTCGTTAATTACGAATCAATTCGTTAATGGCGGACGTGATTGCGCAATGTGCAAAAAACACCTCCAAACTGGACGGGGGAACTTCTGAAGCATCCCTCTCCCTCTGTTGCTGACTGTTGGTGATAAAACTTACAACTAACAGAAACCAAATTAAAATAAATTCAGGATGAAATTAAAATACATTAAGTTAGTAAAAATACAAATTAAAATCACTTAAAATTAATTAAATAATTAAATAATTAAATAATAAAATAAAATAATAAAATAAGTAATAAGATAATAAAATATCTCCCAGAGGGGGAGGGGGAGGATGGGGAGGATGGGGAGGAAAGGCAACGCTGGCACCTTTTCTCTCCTTCTTTTCCGTCTTAATAATTATGAAATAATTACGAAAATTTGGAAAAATTGTTTCGATTCTCAATTACTCCTCACACTATTCCTGCATGGCTCAATATTGGATCGTAAGCTAATTTAAATACGAATTAATAACGACTTTAGAAACTAACGAACACGATCAAACAAGCCTACTGGACATGTCACATAGCTGCTGGTATCAATCTTTTCCTTGACTCAAACTTGCAGCATTCCTAGCAACAGAAACTCATTTTTTGTGGCAAATGTTTTGATGAAAGGCTCTGAGTTCTGACAAAAATACTGCCCATGTGCATGTCACTGGTTTTACATTAGTTCAAAGCATGTTTGTTTGATAAAGACCAAAATAGCGGAACAGTTTGTTACAGCTCGAATCCTGAAATACTCCATTCTCTTCTATACTAAATCCATTCACTTGGAGCAACTCACATTCCCTGGCTCCATGAATGTAAATTCTAGAATTGTAATCGAATCACATTGGTCTCTTGTTGTTGCTTTTGTTTTAGAATTTCAATTAAACTTTGAACTGCCAATCAAAAGAAATAAAAATGTGTTTTTTTTAAAAAACAAGATAAATAGAGGAGAGTTAAAATAGTTAATCAATTGTCCTGAGAGGAGCCCCCGGTGGCACAGTGGGTTAAACCACTGTGCTGGCAGGACTGAAGACCGACAGGTCGCAGGTTCGAATCCGGGGAGAGACGGATGAGCTCCCTCTATCAACTCCAGCTCCTCATGCGGGGACATGAGAGAAGCCTCCCACAAGGATGATAAAAACATCAAATCATCCGGGGGTCCCCTGGGCAACGTCCTTGCAGACGGCCGATTCTCTCACACCAGAAGTGACTTGCAATTTCTCAAGTCACTCCTGACACGACTAAAAAAAATTGTCCTGAGTTGGGAATATACCTTAATGTTGTTTGTTCATGTTTCAAAGTGAGCCAGTGTGGTATTATACGTGTTTGAGCAGTGGAATAGCACTCTGTGAGATCAGGTCTGACTCTCCACTTGATCAAGCAAATTTACAGGTGGTCTTAGGCAAGCCAACCTCTCCCTCCTGAGAAGAAGGCGATGGCGAGCCTTTCTGAATAAATGTCACAAAGAAAAGCTTTTGATAGACTCACAATAGGTCAAAGTGAACTTGACAGTACATATGTTTCAAATGACATCTGATCCAAAGGATACATGATCAAGCATGTCTACATAATCAGGGAAGTAAAAACAACAGTGAAGAGTTTTCTTAAAATATATTTGAATGGAGGCACTAGATCACACCCCTTTGGTCTAATTAGATCAGTCTCAGATTGCAGAAGGCAAGCAATTTAGATACACAAAGAAGCTGAAGCATTGGAATTCTTTGTGACATTTTGAAAGGCTTGTTTGGCCCTTTGAGCAATAGGACAACAGGACAGAAGGACTCCCACTGTGCTAATCCATATGATGCTAACAGACAATGGCATACAACCAAAATACAGCAAGAGAGAAAGAAGGCTTTAATCATTTCTAGTTGCAACCAGCTGTTTTCAAATGGCAAAGACTCCGTGATTTGAATTGCTGCATAACACACCATTATTCAAAAGGTACCAATCATGAAATAATGTACCAGAGGCAGAGAGTTGGGTTAAAGTTGAGCCTTTTTAATTGATCTGAATTGATTTATGCTTGAGAGGGGAACAACCTGATGTGGCTTTGGTTGAGTCCAGGTATGAACTTGTGACAACTTCCTCAGCTTCCCTTGCATGGAACACTTGACCCTTGAGGACAATCCAATTCTATGGGTAATTCATTTTAGCAGGCCATGTTCTGGATTAGAAACCTAAAGCATTTCCTTCCAGGTTTATAAGAGAAAGTAAACCCCCCCCCCCCCCCCCGGGTTAGCACCAAAGATAGACTCACAGCTTTCCTGGACACAAGACCTTAAGAGACCATTCCAGAGTGGCATCTTTCAACAAAAAGGATGTCACAGTGTACACCTAATTCTTACATTCTCTCTTGACACCTGCCAAAGACAACATATTTAGGGACACCAGATAAAGTTTTACAGATAAAGTATAGAATTGGCACACAAAAAAAGAACAAACAACAAGGCAAACAACAGGTATAATGGAGAAAAAGCCAACCTCCCTGTAGCAACCCCTAAGCCAATATTATGTTGAGGGTGGGGTGCATGCTGAAATGAAATGAAACACAAGCAAAATGATCACCCTTAAATAGCTCCAACTCTGCCTCTCCCATACATTGCACCCTAGCAACTTGGATTAGATGGCTTTTAAGTCTGTAAGGACTTAAAGATGTTCCGTTGTACCTTTGACTAGGCAATTCTTTGGACAACTGGCCCCAGTTAGGACCCTCCCCCCAAAAGAATTATTGACCTCAAGCACTTCATGAGTGCTATATCCAAATCCTTAATGGTAAATTATTCTTATTCTTATTGTTGCCATATGATATTTGCACTTTACACCTTAGCTCTATCCTCTAATGTTGTGGCACTAGTCCGCCCCCCCCCCCCCCACCGATGACAAGACTTTGCTATTGGTTGTTGGTTTTGATGTATGTTTTATATACTGTTTAATGCTGTTCTTTTTATTTCTTTATATTTTTGTTATAATTTTGTTGATATGTATTTTAATGTGTTGTTTTAACTGTTCTGTGGGTCTGGCCCCATTTAAGCCGTCCCAAGTCCCTTTGGGAGATGAAGGTAGGATATAAAAATAAAAAGTTATTCTACTCTGGCCTTAATTCCCAGAGGTCATCAAAGTGCCCCACTACTTCACAATAGCCCTGGGTAAAAATTCCATATGCATGATGCTTCCATGACATGAAATGCTGGATCTTGGCTTATTTCATATCCTGCAACTGTTTAAATGCAGTGAGCTAGTGTTAGGAAAGACTGTAACTCTAAACATTACATTCTTTCCAGGCTAAAGGGCAGAGGAGGAGCCACATTTTCTAGTGTGGTATTGATTTTCTCATTAAATTGGCAAGCATGATGCTAAATTGCACAGGAGTTCTTTGACAAACAGATTCTTGTTCCACAGGCTCAAGAAAATAACTAATTCTGGTTGCCCAAGTAGGTGACATTATCCTCACCAGCCTGAAATAATAAACACCCCCAAAGCTGCCAGCTTCACTTGACACCATACTATGTTTTAATCAATGGTGGGATGGCCAACTTCCAGACTTCTTAAGGAAGAGAATTTCAGTTTCCCAAATATTAGTCCCTTGGTCAAAAATATATGTTAACCATTAATTTAGACACTTCCTCACTAGTGTTCATGGTGAACTCAGCACCCCCTGATAGTATGGAACTTTCCATAGTGGGGCAAATGTGCTTAGACAGTGCTGATGTTTTCTAGGGATGGGTGAGAATTTAGTTGAATCCTTTAAAAAAGAATTTACCTAATTCAGTTTGGAGTTTTGGACCTTATGTATAGCCATGTGAGGAGAGTGAAATGAGTGTTGTCCTCTCAAATAGGAATTCTACTAGTTTCATGAAATTTTCTTTCCATACCTAAATTTCTAGCAATGCAGTATTTTTTATGAATATTTAGGAATACATTTTAGAGGGAGAAAAGGGAGGCAAAGTTACCAAAGGAATATAAACTCATCAAATAGTAGAATAGTAGAGCCAATACTCCAGAGGACAGGAGCAGGATTCAAAATGATCTTGACAGATAAGAGAGATGGGCCAAAACTAACAAAATGAAGTTCAACTGTGACAAATGCAAGATACTCCACTTTGGCAGGAAAAACAAAATGCAAAGATACAGAATGGGGGACGATGCCTGGCTTGAGAGCAGTACGTGTGAAAAAGACCTTGGAGTCCTCATAAACAACAAGTTAAACATGAGCCAACAATGTGATGTGGCAGCAAAAAAAGCCAATGGGATTTTGGCCTGCAT